CCCCCCCCCCCCCCCCCCCCCCCCCCCCCGCCATCTCTGAATTAGCCTCTCAGGCTCTGCCTTCTCAGTGTCCTTCCCTCCACCTGACAGGGTCTGGCTCAAGGTCACTGCAGTAATTCCATACCCGGCCTCCCGGGCCTGCCACTGCCGCCACTGGCTGCTGGGTTTCTGTTTCACTCCCTTTTATTTCTGGGCATATTGTGTTCGATAAAACCCTTTGCTTGTAGCACCGCTGGCAGGGCTCCCAGTGGCTCCCTCCTGTGATCCTTCCTTTCCTCCTCCTCCCTTCCGTGCTCCCTAAGCCTCACCCCGCCCCCTCTTCCCCCTTCCCCCCCACCTCGTCCCTTCTAACTTCAGGGGAGGGAGGTCCATGCGCCTCCCTGGGGTTTCTGATCCCGCTCTTCCCCCAGCTCCAGCAGAGGTGTGCAGAGGAATTTCCTCCATTCCCCCTTCTAGAAGGAAAGTCCAGACAGGGCCACCGGGGTCGGCACTGAGGGCCCCTCCCACTACCCCAGGCTGGGCTGGAGGGCTGGGGCAGCCAGGCTCAGGTAGGGCTGCTGGTGGAGTCAAGATGCCTGACTGGTTTTGCTGGTTTCCGTGGCCAGCACTGGGAGGGGCGAGCACTCCGGGCGGGCTGTGGGGCACAATTATTTCTCGTCTTGACTCTTGCCGCCCTCCAGCCCACCAGCTGGGGAGGTACAGACAGGTCTGAGTCACTAGTGAGTAGCGCAGGAGTGAAACAAGCGTTGGCCGTGACATCCCCACAGAAGGCCTGCCAGGCTGGACGGACGGAACGGCAGACAGAAGGTAGGCAGCCTTCCAGCCAGCACCCCATCCGCCCGCTCTCCCACAGGGTCCCCTCCTCCGGGCCCAAGCTCTCCCAGGCACCTGGGCCCTGGAGAAGCCTGCCAAGGCCTGCCCCGGCTGCTTTGAACTGAGCCCGGGGTTGGCAGGGCTGGGTGGAGGGAAAGCCCAGATTGGGGGAGGGGAGGGGAGGGGAGGGCAGGGGAGGGCAGGCAGCTTCTGACTCCTGCCGAGTCCCAGGGTAGAGCTGAGAGGTGCTGGGAGGCGCCATCTCTGTATGTGGGGCTGGGAGTCCCCAGGTGGTGTGGGTCCCCAGGTGATGTGCAGGCTCGATGGGTCCAGCCTGTGTGTGTGTATGTGTGTGTGTGTGTGTGTGTGTGTACCCACACCAGAGCAACAGAGGGGTTCTGGGTTTGGTTTCTGGTAGGATCCTGGCAGAACACTGTTCTGTCTTGAGCCTGCTTTCCCTAGACGGCCTGGTCCTGACGCTGTGGGGAGGGCAGGGGGCTGGATTCCCTCTCGGCTGGGGTATCAGTGCACCCAGGGCCTCCGGTGTGGGGAGCCCAGAGCAGCCTTGCCCTCAGGGAGCTTACCTTCCGGCTGAGGTGGCCGGAACGGAAACAATAAAGCAATCAGATGAATTAACTGCAAAACCAGTAGCCCTGACAGTAAGTATTGGATTGTCTTCTGGAGACCTAGGTGTTAGTCCCAGCAATGCCACCTACACACTGTGACACGGCGGGCAGGCCGCGTCCCCTCCCTGGCCTCAGTGCTCTTGTGTGTACGACAGGGGTGGTGGCAGCTAGGTCTCTTTGTGAGAGACAAGCCCCCTCTTCTGGCCCCATCTCCCTCTCTGGCCTTCTGGCCCAGCTCAAGTATTCCCTCTGCTCTGTTCTCCCTCGCCCTTTGGCTTTGCTCCTCCTCCCCCTCCCCCTTCAATCTCAGGCCGTCACCTCCACTGGGAAGTCTCCCCTGATTTTCCTAGCTTGGGCATTCTTGTGCATGTCCATGCTAGGCTGGATCGTCTGTGTGCCGCATCTGGACGTGTGTGGACCAGGACTTGTGCTCTGTGTCTGGCACAGTATCAGGTTCAGAGAAGGCCCCAGGCACTAGGTGCCGGATGAATTAAGCTGCACAAACTAATGATGTGAGAAATGAGGAGTGGGGACCAAGGAGCTGGAAGGGACAGGTCCTAAGCTAGATCCTGTCCTAAAAGGAACTATAGACAAACAGGAGGGAGGTGAGCAGGGATTCCTGAGGGCCACTCTCCTGTCTCCCGCTAAGAGCGAGGACTGGGGAGTGCATCTGCCTGGGTTACTCCCAGCTCATACCAGCTCTGTGAACTGGTCATTTGATCCTTCCCTGAACCTCACTTCCCATCTGTGAATGGAGATAATAATAATCGCATCTCGTCTTTGTGGTGCGACTAAAAGAGCAATGGGCATGCATAGCTGCGAGAATAATAGTAAGATAAGAAACATAAGAATGAGCTCTGCCAGCGGCTGTTCCTGACAGCGGGGACCCCCGGCCAGGCCTTCATTCCGTGGCTGAGTGGCTGCCGAAGGGGGCCATCACCCCCACGTTCCTGAGTTCCAGTCCCTCTCTTCCTCAGACCCATGTGGAACCCAAGGACGCAGCCGCCCTGCTGAGAGCTCGGCGGCTCATTCCTGTAGACCGTGACCTCGAAACGGTGGCCCTCGGCCCTCCACCTCTGGCTGGGGCGGGGGCTGCCCATCTGCAAGCCCCCGGCCATGACGACCTCAGCGCTGCGGCGCCAGGTGAAGAACATCGTGCACAACTACTCGGAGGCGGAGATCAAGGTGCGCGAAGCCACCAGCAATGACCCGTGGGGCCCGCCCAGCTCGCTCATGTCGGAGATCGCCGACCTGACCTTCAACACGGTGGCCTTCGCCGAGGTCATGGGCATGCTGTGGCGGCGGCTCAATGACAGCGGCAAGAACTGGCGGCACGTGTACAAGGCGCTGACACTGCTGGACTACCTGCTCAAGACGGGCTCCGAGCGGGTGGCCCACCAGTGCCGCGAGAACCTCTACACCGTCCAGACGCTCAAGGACTTCCAGTACATCGACCGCGACGGCAAGGACCAGGGCGTCAATGTGCGCGAGAAGGTCAAGCAGGTGATGGCCTTGCTCAGGGACGAGGAGCGCCTCCGGCAGGAGCGGACCCACGCCCTCAAGACCAAGGAGCGCATGGCACTGGAGGGCATGGGCATCGGCAGTGGGCAGCTGGGCCTGGGCCGCCGCCACGGTTCCCCATCCTCCTACAACTGTGAGTGGGCCCCGGGGCTGTGGCTGGGGGCCAGGAGGCAGCCTGAGGTCAGAGGGATGCTGCAAGCATTCAGGGAGATGACCAATGTAGCACGGAAGGCGGGACGCCCCAGGAGGTGCCCCACGAGTTAGCGCAGATGACAGCAGGACTGTGCCTGGTGGGCTGGGGTGGTGGCAGATGCTCAGGCTTCTGGAGTCCCGCAGCATGCCTTATTCTGCCCCTTTCGAGCGGAGGGATCTAGACGGCCGCCCCTTTGAATCTCCGCTTCCTCATCTGTGAAGCAGGGAACATCTTTCAGGTGTTGGATGTGAGAATCGAGGAGATCAGGGTCAGGAATACCCCTGGCCCTGTGCCCAGACACAGGGCACAAGGCGCTCCATCAGTGGCATTCCTCATGACCCCCTGCTTGAGGGCACTGTCCTTGAAAACAGGGTGCTGCAGAGCGGTTTTTTTTTTGTTTTTTTTTTTGAGAGAGAAAGAGACCGAGAAATGTGAGTGGGGGAGGGGCAGAGAAAGAGAATTCCAAGCAGGCGCTGTGCTGTCAGCGCAAAGCCCAACACGGGGCTCAATTCCACGAACCGGGAGATCATGACCTGAGCCGAAATCAAGAGTCAGACACTCAACTGACTGAGCCCCCCCACAACTGCACCCCTGCAGAGTAGTTCTGGACTCTCCTCCCTGCCCTGATGTGGGCTTCCTGGATCTGAGGGGGACTCGGATGGTCCTCCTTTCATAAAGCCCTTGACAGTGTGCCGAGGGCTTTGAGAGCCTCAGCCTTGATTGACTGGCACTCTCCCCCTCCCACCTCACGTGACTCCAGGCAGGATGGGGCCCCCCTGGAAGAGTGCAGTAGCCGGAGTCAGGGGACCTGGCTTCAGGTCTTACCTCAGGACCCTGGCCAGGCAACCCTCGGCTATTTGACACATCTGTAAAGGAAGGACTGGAGGCTCTACTGGGGGTGGCGTGGAAAGCCTCACACAGAGTGCCAAGCACACTGCCAGGCCCCCTGGAGCCCTGGCTGCCAGTCAATTCCTTCATCAGTTTCCCCCTCTGAGCCTTAGAGCTTCCTGGTTGGGGGGGGAAGGGCTGGGAAGGGGCACGGCACGTCGGTTACAGAGGCCACGATGGCCGACGGTCCATGGTCGTTGCAGCCTCGTCCTCCTCCCCACGCTACACGTCGGACTTGGAGCAGGCCCGGCCCCAGACGTCAGGAGAAGAGCAGCTGCAGCTGCAGCTGGCCCTGGCCATGAGCCGTGAGGAGGCTGAGAAGGTGAGGATCCCCGGGGGGCCTGGCGAGGAGACTACTGCCCCACACCCTTACCTCCTAGGCTCCTCTGCTCTGGGACAGCACAGGGCCTGTCCGTGTCCCTGGGACTGTCCTGGCAGGGATTGCCTCCCCGCCTGCAGTCCCCTCTGGCTGGGGCTGGAAAGGGCAGTGAATACTGAGTGGGTTGAGGGTGCACATGTGTCTTATGGGCCCGCGGCGGCCCCATGGAAGGCAAGCGGTGAGCGTGCTGACAGATGCATTCCTGGGAGACCCAGAGATATTGCTGCTCCCACCACCGCTGCCATCAGCTGTCCTTTTGGGGGTCAGGGATAGCCCCCCGTAATCATCCTTTCTGCCATCACCTCTGTGGATCCAGGTAGACTGGGGCAGGAAGTCTCACACAGCAGGGCCTGGGGATGCTCAGGGGACCCAGAAGCCAAGGATCCATCTCCTTGATTTTGGAAACTGCGTTGCAGAT